TGGTTTCCGGGTTTTTTTAATTTTTTTTTTATTTTATTTTTTAATATCGAGTTAATTAAAAATTAAATTTCATAATTTATTTTATTTATTTAATAATAATAGTTTATAATACCCAATAAATCCCATGAAAAAGATGATTTCATCCCAATTACAAGTTTTGTCAGTTTTCTTTAGAATGACATGAATATCATTTTACTATTTTAATGAACAGTATTATATGTCAATGGTCACAATATTTTACAGTAGCTTTTTAGTTTTTTTTTTCTAATTATAATTAACCTATTTCTTAGTAATTATATTAATATTTTAGTTTATTTCTTAATTAGATATGAGATTTAATCTACGTCAGTATTGGCATATATTTTGTATTGTCATGTGAGAAAAAAAAGTTTCTTTTTATATAAATAGTATAATTCTCTTTAATTTTGACAATTAGAATATTTTTAAGATAAGACGGCATATTCAAATTTCTTTAAAATAAAATATTTTAATTTTCATTAATAAAGTCCTCTTAATATACACAGTAATTCTTAAGATACAAAAATATTTTTTCTCAAATAATTTATTTCAATATAAAACTTATGGATAGCATTTCATAGATCATGTAGAACAAACTCATAAGTAGCTAGCAGGAGTCATTTTCCGATCAATAAAACAGGATTTCCGGGAATTATCCATCACAGCTAGTGACTACCCTTTTCAATTTTTCAAACGGAACGACTCACCGGTCAACTTAGATACCTCCTCCTTTGCTTCTCTGTCCGCTTGCATAGCGCAGTATGGAAACATGGTTAAATTTATGTTTTAAAAAAATTTAAATTTTTTTATTTTTATTAAAATTTAATATAGTTTGTATGATTTAGATGTTTTGATGTTTTGATATTAAAATTAATTTTTTAAAAATAAAAAATATTATTAATATATATATTTACATAAAAAATTATTTAAAAATCAATAGTTATCACGTTACTATTAAACCATTAAGATTTTATCTTATTTCCTGTTAATTACAAGCATGAGGGTCCCATGGGCGGACCAGGTCCATTTCTCAATGGACCCACCAGTTTATTTTTTAATTAGATATGAGATTTAATCTACATCAGTATTGGCATATATTTTGTATTGTCATGTGAGAAAAAAAAGTTTCTTTTTATATAAATGGTATAATTCTCTTTAATTTTGACAATTAAAATATTTTTTAAAAAATTAATTTTTTATTTTAAATTAATGTTTTATAATATTTTTAAATTATTTTAATATGTTTAAAATTATTATTTTTATTTTAAATTAATTTTTTATAATATTTTTAAATTATTTTAATGTATTTATGTAAAAATTAATTACTCTCACACTTCTTAATACACCTATAAAAGACTAAATCCTCACATTATCATGCCATGCATTATCAACCTTGTTTTATTTTAAAATGTAGTATTAATTGTTTTTTAAAATAATTTTTATTTATAAATATATTAAGATTTTTTTTATTTTTTAAAAAATATTTTTTATATGATCATATCAAAACAATCTAAAAACATAAAAATAAATTAAAATTTTTAAAAAATATTTTTAAAAATAAAAAAACAAAATATTTTTTGTTTTAAAAAAATATGATCAATGTTATACTTATCCAGTCAATTTTAAAAAAACATTTAATATGATCAATGTTATACTTATCCAGTCATATTGATTGATTGATTTTACCAACGACATCGGTTGAATGTTTCCACTTGTATCCTTCCACCCAAACTTTCCACGCAAATCAAGTGAATTTCCCATTGATCATGACAACTCCTTCCTGACTTGTTGAATTTACAAGGAAATAAACAAAATTGATAGTGAGATTTTGAAATAATATAAACTTAAATATGAAAATCTCAATCTTTTAAACTTTGGTTTTACACGGGATTATATCTTTCTTTCTTTCATTTTCTCATCATTAACTTTAATTTTTAAACAATAAATTTGATAAATTACAAGGAAACAGCCATGTTCGCCCTGGCTTGAGGACAAAGTTTTGCCTCATGCCCCATGTTCTCGCAGGGCAAAGAACGTGTATATGAACAAAGGGAGTCACTATCTTAGCCTCCAGATTGGACCACTAACCTGTTTATTGCATGAACGCCTAAGTAAAATCCATTTAGCCTGGTCAACAATCTGCATTCCTCCCCATGATTTTGCATTAGTTGATTGATATTGTTGTTGTTTTTTAAAGTAGTTTTTAAAAATATATATTAAAATAATATTTTTTATTTTTTAATATTAATATATTAAAAAAATAAAAAATACCAACAATAAAATTTAAAACAAAATTTCTAGAAAAAATATAATTGAACGTGAAAACAAACAAACACCCCTTAGTAGCATAGCTTGCTTTCATTGGCTGCCTTAAAGGAGGAAATAAAAAATCCAATTATAGATTTGCTTTAATAATTCTCCAGGGAAAGGACAATGAGTGCTGAGTCCAGTTTTCCAGCAAGTTGCATTGAGGTAGAGATAATGAGTTCTGAATTCTCCGTTTGGTCAATAATAATAGTTTTGAAACAAGCTCCTAGGTTTTTTTTTTTTTTTTTTTTTTTGCAGAAAAGGACATTTAAAAAAAAAAAAGTTGAATGAAACAGTTTATTTTTTCAGATTCATTGAATCATTGCCATTCTTTTTTATCAAAGATCTTCTTCTATATGTTTGAGAATATAATAATATTTTTTTAAATTGTTTTTTTTAATACATTGAAATAATTTTTTTTTTAAAAAAAATTATATTTAATATTAAAATATTAAAATAAAAAAATAATTCTATAAAAAACCAATTAAAACTTTTAAAAATTCTAAACAACCACTTTAACACAAGAAGCCGAACTTCATGCTATATAAGGTGTGTTTTGTATTATGTTTTAAAAATAATTTTAAAAATTTTAAATTTTTTAATTAAATATTTTTGATATTTTTAAATTATTATAATAAGCTGTTATTAAAAATAATTTTTTAAAAATAAAAAAATATTATTAATATATTTTTTAAATAAAAAATAATTTAAAAATAATCTTAACCCCAGTTTCAAATTCAATAATAATAAAAGTTTGATAAATTATACATGTTATAAATTAATAGTCATAGAGACATTCTTGGAATTCATCTAATTTAGCACGGAGAAGCAGTAAATTTATTTATTTATTTATTTATTTTAAGTTCTTTAGTTCGATGGATCTCGTAAATGCTGATGTGAAGTAAGAGTTTATCCTCTTAGATTACTTCAAAAGAAATTTGTTTTCCTTTGATTTTTTTTCCTTACAGTTCCCACCTTGAAGTTTCTCGAATCTCTCCTATTTTAATTTTGATTACTTTAAATGCAAGCAACTGGTGTTGTGGTAAAATCATTTTAATAATCCAATTATACTTGAGTTAATTCTCAAAACACTAAAATAATAAAAAGATGAAAATAATTAAACTAAGTATAAAACTCTGTGCTCTCCTTTGGTCGAATTAAGGGTTGTTTTAAAATATGGTAATAATTTTTTTAATATTAACATATTAAAATAATTATAAAAAATATAAAAAATAAATTTTAAATAATAAAAAAATATTTTTAATAAAACACATGGAGCAACGTTTCCAAACGGGCTACTCTTTGAAGCAACAATTCCACCGGGTGTTTGTTTTTGTATTAAAAATATGTCTTTCAAGATTTTAAAATTTTTTAAATTAACTTTTTAATAATTTTAAAATAAAATATTTTAAAAAATAATTACTATTAACCAATCAAATACATCACAAAATCAGACATCCGTATGAATGCATCCCTAACAGAATCCCAATATAAAATGTCTTCGTGTTTGTCGTCAAACAAATTATATGGGGTTTCGAGGCTCCAATTTGTGATAGGAACTTGCACTTATCTATTTCAGACTTGGATGGTCAATCTCTCTTTCTCTCCCTCTCTGTTTTTTTCTCTTTTTTTTCAATTTAGTCTCAAACAAGAATGGGGAGAGAGGATTAAGTTTAATGATTTTGGATTCATTTTATGATTTTAGTCCTCTATGTTCTTCTAACTACAGTAAAACCCCTTATGTGTCATGATTTTAGATTCAGAAAAGTCATTATTGCCTCTCATGGTGGGTTTATGCATTCCAAAATTACAAGTAGAGGGGCTGATTTGATCAAAGTTATTATAAAAGGGCCGGCTAACCAAAATCACATAATAAGCGGGCACCGTTTCCCCGAAGTACAAAATGAACCAAAAAGGTACTTATATCACAAGAAAACAAAACAAGTCATTAATTAATCGATCAGGTCTCAGGAGAGTCTTTAATAATGGGAATAAGGAAATAATAATTAATATATAATAATGATACTAATAGTCTAGTCTCCAACTCCAACGATACAAAGCAGCTTGCTTTTCTCTCTTCTTCCCAACTTATTGCAGAGAGAGAGAGAGAGAGCTCCTCTGCTGCCCTTTAGTGAAGGTTCTCTTTGATTTTTTTTTTCCTTTTTTATTATCTTCATCACCATTTCTCCCTCTGCTGCCCTTTGGTGAAGGTTCTCTTTTATTTTTTTTCTTTTTTATTATCTTCATCACCATTTCTCTTACTACTTTTATATATTCAACCAAAAAAAAAAAAAACTAACACCACATTGGAAAAAAAATTTACTTCCAATCAAAGAGGCTTCGTGGAGAGAACCATCGTTTATAGACAGAGAGACACTAAAATTCCACTCTAGTCTCTTAACGTAACCACTTTTGATGCCTTAATCCTGCACTTCGATCTTCTCTCTTTAGAACACGTTAATAAAAAATGTGTCTTTTGATTTTGTCTCTCTGATTTTTTGCTGTCCTTTTTTCTTCTTGGTATTGTGAGAGCACATTTCTGGGTTTATTTAGTGAGATGATTCGTGGGTTTACTTGATTTTGTTGATGGGTCGGTGATGATTTTGGGTTGTTTTGGTGTAATCATTCGTGGGCCCGCTGTGAATTTGTTTGCTTGGAGGAGTTTTGAGGTGAAAAGTTGCTGATTTGGGGTTTTGTGGAGGATTTGAGGCTAAAGGTTGGGGCTTTTTTTCTTTGGGATAAAATCTCTGGTTGGTGTGGTTTCATGGTGGGTTGATAAAAATTGGTGCTGTGTTGATTCAATCTTTCCAGGTTTATGGTATATTTGCTTGTTTTGCAGATTTCAGTGGGCTGGTAATAAGTTAGGAATAAAGCTCTAACAATTGGAAATCCCCCTTTGGGTTCTAAGGGATTGAATTGAATCATTTTCGTACGGTCAAATGGTTTTGGGGATTTTTTTATTTAGATTATCTCTTAGTATTGGCGTTTCTTGTTGGATTTTATTTTGAGGTGTATAATTCTGCTCTAAAGATAAGATGAGTTCAAGCATCACAGAAGGTTTGGTAAATCAGACCAGGCTTGTAGTTCATATAGCAGAAAATGGCCATTCACTTGAACTTTATTGTGATGAAACAACGCTTGTGGAGAGGGTAATGCGTTATATCGATTCAGTTGCTGGGATTAACTTCAATGACCAGCTTGTTCTGTGTTTGGAAAAGAAACTTGAACCTCAGCAGCCGCTTTCTGCCTACAAGCTTCCATCTAGCGATGGGGAAGTGTTTATATTTAACAGAGCAAGGATGCAAACCAATACCCTTCCCCCTCCACTCGAACAAATTGATCTACTTGAAATTGCAGACCCTCCACCACCACCTTCTTCGCATGACCCCCATCCTTTAGATGATGCTCCAGACCCAGCTTTGAGGGTTTTGCCTTCTTATGAGAAACAATTTAGATACCATTACCAGAGGGGCTATGCAATTTATAGTAGAACCCAAGTAAAGCATGAACATTGCCTGAAGTTATTGACGGAGCAAAAGGTTCAGGAGAGGGCAATGGAGGTTGCTAGGATTAACGTGCATCAATTCTACAGGGCAATTTTTCAGAACTACTCAGAGTTCATGAAGCGTTATACACAACAACACAGGATACATTTAGATCTCTTAACAAATTTTGAGAGAGATTTAGAGAAACTGAGGTCGATCAAGCTTCATCCAGACTTGCAATCTGATTCACGTAAATGTTTAGTCGATTTTGTGAAGGAAGATAACTTGAGGAAGGCCGTGGATAATTGTAGCCATTCACATAGGCAGTTTGTGAAGAAGGTTTTAGAGTTTAAGCAAAATTTTGGTGATGCAAAGCGCAAAGTGGAAGAATTATTTTCTTGTGAAGCTTCATCATCTATTAGGAATTTAGATCTTGCCATCAAGGAGCGTCAGCCATCCATCAACGAACAGAAGAGCATAATGCAATCTTTGAGGTTGGTTGACTTCAATTCAAACATCTGAACTGCCTTCCTATTTGTTAATTTTTCTGTATGATTTTGTGCTTGTTAAAAATTTCTTGATTGATGCAGTAAGTTGAATTTTTTGAAGCATTGCTGTGATAATACATCTTAGCACTGTCAAGGATTGAGTTTATAGCTTTCCCTGTAATTTCTGTGATATAGCCGGTTCATTGCTATGCCAATCTTATCTAATTCCTGGCCTGAGTATTTTTGGCAAGTGATGAGCACATAGGAACACATGGTACGATGGCTGCTCAGTGATGATTGCATTCAATATTAGTCACTAGTCTGTCTTTTTTATGGATGATATTACTTTGATTTTTGTTCTTTTTCAAAAGTAGTCCGTGTGTTTTAGATCTTTGATTCCCTCTTGGGGGCAGATAAATAAAAATATTTAAATGTTCTCGCAACCTTTTCTCCATCCGATGCCTGTTGTGCTGTTGAATATTCTGTTAAAGACGACCTACAGCTAGATTCTCACCTTAAAGGACAATAAGAGTAGCAGTCCAACTTCATGCTTTGGCTCAATGCCATTGGCCTGGCAATTTTTGTTTGAAGTAGGAGCTGCTCATAAATGAATCATGATTATGGACACGATTCACTTCTAGATTTCAATTTCAGCTGGTGTGCGTGTTTGGAAATTTTAAGACATTCAAGTGAGTGCAATAACTTGATTGAACCATCAAGTACCCTGTTGGTGTTTTATCCACAAACCTTGGGAAATAAGGAAAATATAGAAAACCTAGAGTTCACTAAGCTAATCCCTCGAAATCCAAAAGATGCGTTTCATGAATCTTTGAGAACCTTAGTTTGCTGAAATCCACAAAAAAACAGAATTCTGAAATTCAATTTTTAATTCTTTAAATCCTGATGGTTTTAAAGAAGCAACTCCCTACTAAAGTAAGATACCAAATGGTGCTAATATGGTAGCATTAATAAGCTCCCAAATCATAAATTTTTTGTCAATACCAATTTATAAGTAAAACCTAAAGTTTCTGTTTTTTCAAGTCATACTAATTGCTACAGTAGTTATGCTGGAGGAAGATAATGCACATACCACTGATTGATGGCTGTGGACTTGTATTTATGCAGAGACGATGCAAGCACGGTGAAGAAACTTGTGCATGATTGTCTGTCATGCCAGTTGTCCTCCTCAACTCGTCTCCATACTGAAGTTTCAGCCCTGAGTCTTATGTATGATGTCCATGAAAAGAGTCATTTGCCCAACATGCTGGCTGTTGATGATTTAATTTCCAAGCTGCTTGGTTTTTGCAAGGATAAGAAGAACGAGATGAACATCTTTGTGCATGATTTCCTACAAAAGATCGCCTATGTTACTTTCCTCATGAAAGATGTGAAGTTAAGGTTTCCTGTTTTTAGAGAGGCAATGTTGCGTCAGGATGATATTTTTAGGGACCTAAAACTATTCCATGGGATTGGTTCTGCATACAGAGGCTGCCTTGCTGAAGTAGTGAGAAGAAAGGCTTCTATGAAACTTTACATGGGCAAGGCTGGACAACTGGCTGAGCAGCTTGCTACAAGGAGGGAGGTTGAGGTTAGGAGACGGGAGGAGTTTCTGAAAGCATACAGTTCATATATACCAAGAGATATATTAGCATCAATGGGGTTATATGATACTCCTAGTCAGTGTGATGTCAATATATCTCCATTTGACACTAATTTGCTTGACATTGACATCTCAGACTTGGACCGTTATGCTCCTGATTATTTGGTTGGACTTCCTTCAAAAAGTGACAAGACTGCAAGCTTGAAAGGCTCATTGTCTATGTCTAATGACAGTTCTCGCTCAGCTGAGATGGAAGAAATTGGTGAGGAAGCACTTGAGAAAGATTGCTCTGAGGAGCCCCTCGAGGGCTGTGAGTTGTTAGAGATTGCTGGAACTAGCAAGATGGAAGTTGAGAATGCAAAACTGAAAGCTGAACTAGCTTCTGCAATAGCCCTGATATGTTCCCTTTGCCCAGAAATTGAATACGAGTCAATGGATGATAGCACAGTGGATAGTCTATTGAAGAATGCAGATAAGACAAATGAAGCCTTGCGGCTGAAAGATGAGTATGGAAAACATCTCCAATCTTTGCTTAAGGCAAAGCAAATACAGTGTATGTCATATGAGAAGCGCATTCAAGAACTAGAGCAGAGATTGGCTGACCAGTATTTGCAGGGGCAGAAACTTTCAAATAGTAAAGATGCATCAGACTATGCTCTTTTGGCTGCAAAGACTGAAGACTTCAAACCAGAAATTTCCAGTGGTGAAGCACCCATGCCTTATGCAATGACCTCAGAGCCCATGGATGAGGTTTCTTGCATTTCTAATTCTTTGAATTCAAAGCTGGGGCTTTTCACCAGGCAACCAAGCAAAGGTAGAGAAGGGTTTGATGAAAATATGATGGACTCGTCTGGGATGTTCAATACTCAGTTGGATTCATCAATGGTGGAGCCAAATCGTGAAGAGCTGCAAGTTTGTGATAAAGATGGAAAGGGTAAGATGGTGGGACAACTGGGCATGTCACTGACAAACAGTTCCACAGCTGAGAGTATGCCAGAGCCTCTCGATATCTCTCCTTCAGATGCAGCTGCTGAGCCTAAAGTCAGTGGTGACCATGGAATTATCTTAGAATTGCAAAATTCACTTGCAGAAAATTCAAAACAATTGAGTAAAACTGAAGCGAAGCTCAAGGCTGCTGTCGAGGAGGCTGCCATGCTTACAAGGGAGTTAGAAATGAATCAGAAGCTCCTTGATGAATCTCAGGTACTGGCACTTCAACCATGTTTTGTAACCTGCAATTTCTTGGTGTTTGTGTTGCTCCTATGTTTCAATTATGTTGTTGAGTTATTGTTCTTGGCGATGTTTAATGTTACCTATATTTAGAAATTGTACCATGTTGCTCAACATTATTGAAATTCTTGGGTCATTATTTTTGTTAGTGCATATAGTTTGATGTTATTAATGAACTTTCTGTGATGGAAAGCCTTTTTAGTAGACAATAGATTCCTAAAATCCCTATTAAGGAATCATTTTCCCAAGTAATCAGCTTCCTGCAGTTCTTGAATTGTGTTTGGCTTCAATTCCCTTCTTTCCTTTTCTTTGCATAAAATTTATTATCAAATGCATTTATTAACTGGTCTTAACCTGTACTTATAATCTTAACTTCTTGCTATACAACAGATGAATTGTGCTCGCTTGGAGAATTGCTTGCATGAAGCAAGAGAGGAAGCACAAACCAATCTTTGTGCAGCTGATCGGAGGGCCTCAGAATATAATAAACTGCACACATCGGCTGTGAAACTCCATGGCCTTTTTGAAAGACTTAGGTGCTGTGTATGTGCTCATGGTGGAGTTGCTGGTTTAGCTGATTCTTTGCATGCTTTAGCTCAATCTATGGTCAAGTAATTTTCCAGAATCCTCTCCATTTTACTTTATTCAGATAAACTTTAACTCTGTTGCAAAACTCAGTGCTCCTTATCCCCTTCCTTTGTCTTGTAATTTGCTGGTGTTGATGCCGTTTTGTTTTGAAATAGTTTATCCTACACTATTTTAACCTCTTTCCTTTTCTTTTTACATTCAAATAGAGAAATCTTAAATTTAAGGGTTGTGAGAATTCTTTTGGGGCTTCTTTCATTGTAATTTCTTATAGAGTTTGGCAGTGACATCAAATTTATATGGTGATTGCTGATGGACTGAATTGCTATCCTTTTTATAAAATCTCATTTTTTTAAGTTTTGACAATGACAACAGCCATGGTTTAATTACTTCAATTTGATTATTTTCAGTTCCAGCAATGACAATGATGATGAGGGTGCTGCTGAATTCCAGAACTGCGTGCGTGCCCTTGCAGATGAAGTTGGTTTCTTGTCCACACACCGGGCAGAGCTGCTTGACAAGTACCCAAAGCTTGAAGCTGCAAACGAACAGCTTGGAAAAGAATTGGAAGAGAAGAAAGAGCTGGTTGCCTCTTTATACAAAAAGCATCAACGTGAGAAGCAGGTATTCTTAACTTGCTGATGGTGTTCATTCTTCATTTTTGATTGGCCTTTGTTTCCAATGCAGCCCTCAGGGTTATTTGTTGCTTCTTTAGCAAGTTGTAAAGTTTCAACTGTTACTTGCCATACCAATTTGCTTTGCCCTTTGATGTGCAGGGATCCCTTTTACATGGAGCCCTGTGCTTTTATGTTCTAACTACAAATGCTCGATATCTTTGTTGATGCCCTGTGCTTGTATCTTCTAAATACAAAAGCTTGATAGCTTTGTTGATGTTTTTCTACAGGCAAACAAGGAAAGGATATCCTTTAGCCGTTTGGAAGTCCAGGAGATTGCTGCATTTGTTCAGAACTCAGCTGGACATTATGAGGCTATCAACCGGAACACCTCTAACTACTACCTGTCTGCTGAATCTGTGGCCCTGTTCACAGACCATCTCCCAAGCCGCCCCTACTACATTGTTGGGCAGATTGTGCATATAGAACGCCAAGCTGTAAAGCCATTGCTTCCTACCCCAACGAGTCCTGAGCATGGTAAGTTAGATGAAGTGGATCTTCTGACCACTGACCAAGGGACTGACCGTTTGAACTTCAATTTGGGACCGACTTCCAACCCATACAATCTTCCTATGGGGTTTAAATACTTTGTAGTGACAGTAGCCATGTTACCGGATTCAACCATTCATTCAGCGCCTCCTTCCTGATCCCCTGCTCCAGGCAGCAAGAAGTGATGGAAGAAAGAAAGTGTACATAGAAAATAATTAAAAAAAAAAAAAGAAAAGAAAAGAAAAAGGACAAGTCCTCGTGTGGGAATTGAACTTGTTTTTCCTTCTTGTGCAGTTGATCAGTGGATGATCCCAGGTCCCCCCCCCCCCTCCTGTATATAAATCCATACTCTCTTTAAGCATGTACAAAATAAAAAATAAAAATTCAGAAGAATTTCATAGGCTGTAGAGTGAATTTAACCTTGGTGCAATGTGCCAGGATATATATAATTTCATTTTATTTCAAGTCCTCTACTTCCCTGCCGAAGATCTCAAACAACGTGGCACCATCAAATTAATAAATAAATCTATCACAAGCCTATCTCAAGCGAACTTGAAACCCTAAAGGTAGTGGGGTCCAATACTTACAAAGACGCCGATTCTTCTTCTCCAAAAAAAAAGGGGGTACGCACTAGAGGTTCTCATTATGAATATTGTTTGATGAGTCTATCAATGTTAGAACTAATTTTT